CCTCCGGGCGCTCCTTACCGCTCCCAGCTGGGGCTCCCGCCGCTGCCAGCCCGGAGGCACCGGCGCCCAGGCGGGGACGCGGCCGGGGGACGGAGCCCGCCGCCGCAGCCACCCCCCGCCCCCCGCACCGAAGCCGCCAGAAAGTTTGCTGGGGGGGTCTGTCCGTGCGCGCGCGGCCCCGCTCTGCCGCTGCTGCCGCTGCCTCCCGCGGCCGCCGCCCCCGAGGCCGCTGCCCGCGGCGCTGCAGCACGGCCGGGCTCGGCGGCCGAGGACGGCTCGGTGCGCGCCGAGGGCGGGGTCTCCCCGCCCGCTCGGCCCGCGGCGCGGCGCGGCGCGGCGCTCGGTGTTTACCGCGGCCCGGCAGCCCGCTCTCCCCGCCCGCCGCCCTGCGCGCTCCTGACATCATTCATTCTCGCACACCCTCGCCCGCCCACTCCATTCCAAACAGTGACTCACCCGGCCGGGTGGCGGCGGCACCCGCTCCCCCGCTGCCGTGGCTGTCCAAGGCGCCGAGCAGAGCTCGACAAACCGGTGCGACTTCTTAAGGAGAAACCCCAGCCGACCCTCCCCGGGCTCAGCCACTAAAGGTGCAGGGAAGGAGGGGCTTGGCAGGCAGGGCCGATTGGCTCCCGGCGGCGAGCCCCAGGGCCCGGAGCAGACCTCCTGCACCCGTGGCCGAGCTCAATCTGGGGAAAGTTCTTTGGGTGCCACTCCCGGCAACTTTTAAGGATGAGGCCGGGAAGGGATCACCCTCCCCCCGTCCCCCGCGCCCACACCTTGCCTTATTCAGGAACTGCTTCCTGACTTGGGCGTGGGTGGGCTTGGGGACGTCAGCGGTTATTCCGAGGGTGTTTGCCCAGGCCTGCGTCGCAGAGGTGGGGTTCCAAACCTCCCGGGGTGGCCTGGCAGGGTTAGTCCGGTGGATGGCTAACTCTAGGTGTGAGCTGGAAGGGTGCTCCAAGTTAATGAGACTAATAATACTTTCCCTTCGGTGACTAACTACCATGTCATTCGTCCTGTTAATTGATTTGCTTCTCTTTAAGGACAAGCGACCGTAACCAAAATAAACAGTTGAAAGAGTAGTTCTTTGCTCAAGTGAACGTTGCGCTCTTCCGCAGCTTTTGGAGCACAGGGCGCTGGGGCCTGTGGTTTCTTTGATGAGCTCAGCAGTTATGTTTTTAGAAGGGTGTTGCCTCCTTAAAAAATGGTCAAGGCTCTAGGTTTCTTGGAGTTGCTATTCATACACCTGCTGGGCAGTTTTCAAAGTAAACAAGGTCAGTCTCAGATTCTAACTAGGATGAATTAGAATGTGGCCAAACCTTGATTGAATTTAAATGACGATTATTTTATGTTTGTTTTCTACTTCTGGACAGGGTAATGATTGGTAATGATTAGAATTTGCACTGGCATGTGGGTGATTCTATATAATAAAACAAAAATAATCCAGAGGCATCTCTAGGTGCCTATTGCAGAAATCATGAAAGTAAACAACCCTTTATCTATGGTAATTAAAAACCACTATAATAAAAAAATATGCAGGGCAGTACCAAAGCACGTAAGTATAAGAGGCCACAACAGAAGTTTCCCCCAAAAGAAGAGGCTCCCAAAATTAATCAAAGGTTTGGCATCACTGCGGTGAAAATGCACTCATTTAAAGCTACAGAAAAGTAAGGGGCACCTGGGCGGCTCAGTCGGTTCAGCCTTCCAACTCTGGTTTCAGCTCAGGTCATGGTCTAGGGGTTGTGGGATGGAGCTCCTGCTCCAGTTCTGCTCAGTTCTTCTCAGGGAGTCTGCTTGAGATTCTCTCTCCTTCTCCCTCTGCTTCTGCCAATGCCCTGTTCTCTCTTTTTCTCTCTCAAATAAATAAATAAATCTTAAAAAAAAAAAAAAAACTACAGAAAGGTAAGAACCCAGAAAAGAACACCAACAATTGAAGTTTATTTTCCTTGGGTTCATCTTTCCTTTTCAGTAGGAGTTCATGTTCAATTTTACAAAGCCTAGGCATCTTGCCCAGAGGACAATAGCAAATAGATTGGTTTGCTGGGATGCAGTCAAAGTAAATGGATATTCAAACCAACATTTTTTTTTGTAGAGAATCACAGACCTAATCAGAAGCTTGAATATCCCGTCAGTTGGTAACACAAAGGGACTGCATTCTAATGCATAGCCACAGGCAAGTTTGGGTGAATATCCTATAAGGTTCAAGTATTTGGACATTATGGAGAGAAGTATAAATAAAGTTTTCTACAGTTCTCAAAAAATGACGTTGTGGGCTTTTGGGCCTATGCACAAGGGTGAAATAAAAAAGCTCAGAACAAAGCCTGACATCCTGCTGTCTTACTATATGAAGTAAATCTTGCAGCTCCATCTGGGGAGGGCCCCTCTATGTATGGAAGGCTGTTTTTTTGTTGTTGTTTTGTTTTGTTTTGTTTTTAAAGATTTACGTATTTATTCATGAGAGACACAGACTGAAGGAGAGAGAGGCAGAGACATAGGCAGAGGGAGAAGCAGGCTCTCCACAGGAGCCCGATGCAGGACTCGATCCTGGATCCCAGGATCATGACCTAAGCCAAAGGTTCACCCAACTGCTGAACCACGGGGCATCCCATGTATGGTAGGCTGTTTAATGGATAGTTCTGGATTTGTGGTTATTAATGTGCCTTGGTTTAAATATTATGAAATAAATAATTAGGTCATTTTATTATTCACTTAAATATTCTCCAGTAAATGTAATGGTATAATTGTGATTGAGTTGCATGAACTTTTTACATTTTATTCATTGTTAACATATGAGAAAGCAAGTTACTCATCTTAATTTCTATGTTGTGAAAAATAGTAACTTGTCCTTCTCACAGAAAGAGATTTTTTTTTAACTTTTTGTTCTTACAATGTATCAAAGTTTCCTAAGTACTAGATTTAGTCACCTTCCAAAAATTATAGTTGCTGAATGCTTTACGGGAGAGAGCTGGCCAGTGTGTTCTTGTCGATTTTTTCTAAACCAATGCATAGTGTAAATATCATTTTATAGATATTTCTTTGTTATGATAAAACATACTGATTGTTAGGGAAACATTTGTAGTACTTAACTCCTTATAATAACTCCTACTTTGGACATAACCTAAATAATTGACTCAATCAACAATGGTTATTGAGTTCCTACTTTGTGCCCATGCTGCTTATCTAAGAATCACCATGTGCATCTTCTAAACATCAGTCTCACAATGGAAAGTTTTCTTTAAAATTTTTTGCATAAGAATGTTTATTGCAGCATTATTTATGATTTTTTCCAGGGTCCAGTGTAGTGCCTGGCATGTAGTATTCAATGAGTGAAATAAACAAATGAACAAAACAAACCAATAGTGAAGTAACTCCATGTTATGGGAAATTATGTAGGCAATAAAATAAAACAATCCCATAGGCTCTGACTTTAGAAAACTGTCCTTGTTGGGATGCGTGGGTGGCAAAATTGGTTAAGTGTCTGACTCTTGATTTTGGCTCAGGTCATGATCTCAGGGTTGTGAGATCAAGCCCAGGGTTGGGCTCTGTGCTCACCACAGGGTCTGCTTAAAATTCTCTCTCCCTCTGCCTCTCCTGTTGGTTTATGTGCTTTCTCTCTATCTGAAATAAATCAAGGAAGGAAGGAAGGAAGGAAGGAAGGAAGGAAGGAAGGAAGGAAGGAAGGAAGGAAGGAAGGAGAAAGGAAAGAAAGAAAGAAAGAAAGAAAGAAAGAAAGAAAGAAAGAAAGAAAGAAAGAAAGAAAGAAAGAAAGAAAAAGAAAAGAAAGAAAGAAAGAAAAACTGTCCTTATTAGTGACAAATATAAGCAGTGAAGGAGCAGAGGGAAAATACACACAGCAGACACACACCTTTTTTGGCAAACACCACTCCCGTGAAAAAAATCCAGAACCAAACTATATTACCTCTTGACAATGAGATACAGAAGGGCAGAGTGTGAAGAAGAAGCTTGTACTTTTGGACTATTTTTCTATGAAAACCTGTATTTTTGAAATTAAAAATAGCAACATAAGCAACATTAGAACTTAAGAAGACAGTACTAGGAGTTCATGACATAGGAGGTTTATAGTCTCATTGGAGAGACAATGATAGCCAGAACAACTAGAGAATAAGGCTGTTCACCTTCTGGATTTGGAATTTAGATGCTCATTTTTGCCAGGCCCATCCAGACCAAACACCTGTGATTTATTGAGTACTTATTATATGCCAGGGACTAAGCTGTATTATCTCATTTAATCCTTTAACCAATGATATGAGGTAGGTACTCAAAATCTCCTCCTCTTCATAGGAGGTAACCAAAGATAAGAGAGATTATTATTCTCCTAAAATCACATTGAAGTAAGTGATATCACTAGGGCATAAAACCAGTACTTCTGACTTCAAAGAGCATAGTTTTTTGTTGTTTGTTTGTTTGTTTGTTTTGAGACAGAGAGAGAGCACAAGGGCACATGCATAGGGAGGGAGGGCAGAGGGAGGGGGAGAAGCAGACTCCCTGATGAGCACAGAAAGCCCAATGTGGGGCTCCATCCTGGAATGCTGAGACCATGACATAAGTGGAACTGGAGATATAAATTTTAGAATAGTCAGCATGGGAAAGATAATGAGGAAGCCACTGGGAAAAAAATGAGACGGCCTGGAAATAGGGTCCAGAGTAAAAAGAAAAGAGGTCCAAGAAAGGGCCCAACATTAAAGGGTTGGCGAAGGAGAACACTGCAGATGGGCCTGAAATCACAAAACTAGGGGGAGGGGAAACTAGGAGAATGAAGTGTTAAGGAAATTGAGGAGGAACAGCTCCTCCACCACAGGAGGGAAAAGGGCAAAAAAGCAGCATGGGAATCACGTTTGTAGACTGCTTCTAGGAAGTTAAAATTCTTGCTCTCCATGCTTCCATTTTTCTGTGAGTTTGGAGGTATGTATCAGTTTTCACTTGCTGCTGTAACAAATTACAAACTTACTAGCTTGAAACAACACAAAGTATTAGCTCACCATTCTGCAGGTCAGTAGTCCTCCAGATTCTGCTGGTTTCTCAGCTCTGGGTTTCACCAGGACTGAAATCAAGGTGTCGACAAGCAGGGCTCTTATCAGTAGTCTCTGGCAAGCTTCCAGATCCATTCAGGCTGTTAGCAGAATCCAGTTCCCTCTCGCTGCAGGATCAAGGTCTCTGTGTTGCTCTGCTGGCTGTCAACTGGGAGCCACCTTTGATAGCTAGAGGCTGTCCCAGAGCCAGCTAGAGGATGTCCCAGAGCCAGCAACGGAGTGTGGAATCCTTCTCACAACTGGAATCTTTCTGACTTCTTGTCCTGCTGCATCTCTTTGCCTCAGCTAGAGAAATTTCCCTGCTTTAAAAGGACTTGTGTGACTACATTGGGCCCACCTGGATAATTCAAGCTACTCTTTCTATAGTAAAGCCCATAATGTTAATCACATCTACAAAGTCCCTTTTGCCATGTGACCTAACATGTTCCAGGAATTAGGGTGTGGACATCTCTGGGGGCCCATTCTGCAGACCACAAGGTGACATCGTCAACTGAGAGTAAGGAAGTGGGAGCGGTGGGTGATTTTAGAAAGAATGAAAACAGTTTAAAGTAGTCACACTGAAGAATAAGAATGTGAAGTGACTAGGGGCGCCTGGGTGGCTCAACCTGTTAAGCATCTGCCTTGGGCTCAGGTCAGGATCCGGGAGTCCTGGAACCGAGCCTCGCCTTGGGCTCCCTGCTCAGCAGGGGAGTCTGCTTCTCTCTCTCCCTCTGCTCATCACCCTGTTCCTTCTCTCTCTTGCTCACTCTCTCTCAAATAAATAAAATCTTTTATTTAATTTTTTAAATATTTTTTTGATTATTTATTTATTTATTCATGAGAGACAGACAGAGAGAGAGAGAGAGAGAGAGAGAGCCAGAGACACAGGCAGATGGAGAAGCAGGCTCCATGCAGGGAGCCCAATACGGGACTTGATCCCAGGACTCCAGGATCATGCCCTGGGTGGAAGGCAGGCTCTAAACCGCTGAGCCATCCAGGCGTCCCTAAATAAAATCTTTTTATTTTTTTTTTAATTTTTTTATTTATTTATGATAGTCAGAGAGAGAGAGAGAGAGAGAGAGAGAGAGACGCAGAGACATAGGCAGAGGGAGAAGCAGGCTCCATGCACCGGGAGCCCGATGTGGGATTCGATCCCGGGTCTCCAGGATCGCGCCCTGGGCCAAAGGCAGGCGCCAAACCGCTGCGCCACCCAGGGATCCCTAAAATCTTTTTTAAAAAGGACATTAACTAGAAAAAACATAAATTTGGGAGATGGTACTGAAGACTGAAGTCATGGCCCTAGTGGTATAAGAATGTCCTTCTCGGGATCCCTGGGTGGCGCAGCGGTTTGGCGCCTGCCTTTGGCCCAGGGTGTGATCCTGGAGACCCAGGATCGACTCCCACATCAGGCTCCCGGTGCATGGAGCCTGCTTCTCCCTCTGCCTGTGTCTCTGCCTCTCTCTCTCTCTCTTTGTATGACTATCATAAATAAATAATAAAAATTAAAAAAAAAGAATGTCCTTCTCTAGCAGTGCTCAAACATGGGGCACCAGCAGGCATAATGGGGGTGGTAGATGGGATAGACAGGATGGAGGGAGTCTAGGACAGTGTCGATGAAGTAATGGATTAGGGAATAAAAGATGGTCAAGGAGAAAAGCAAAAGGAGGAGGGGGCTGATGGATAAGGGAAAAGTAAAAGGATTTGTAGCCTGGAGATCCTGTAGACATTGCAGAAATGGGAACTAGGGGTAAGAGAAAAGAATTTGGAAACACAGGAGATTGGGTGGTGAGATTTATGAACTACTTATCTGAGCAGTTTGTGCAATGGCAGGGCCTGAAATGTGGGTGGATGAGGTGGAGGGAAGAAGAGAAATTGTTGAGGGCACTAGAAGAACAATTCTCATGGAGAATCTTGAAATAGAGTATTTGGACCAGAAGTAAGGGCAGGTCTAATTTCTGGGGTCTGGGCTAATGTAGAGATTGCTTTGTTTTTACTGTATGCCACTCACTTCTACCATAAAGGGGTAAATGTTGGGACTACATGAGAAATGGCAGAGAGTCTCCTGGAGGGTAGTGGGAACAAGTGCCTTAGAAAAACACAGCACAGCAGCAGCAGCAAAAAATGATGACAGTGACTTGATTCATAAGAATCATCATCATGTGAAGCCCCCACCCATGACTTAATCCATCTTCAGGGGAGGGATTCCAGACATCATTTTAAGTCAGTGCCTGAAATGATTTTTTAAAAATTTTATTTATTTGAGAATGAGAGAGCACAAACCGGGGGGAGAGACAGAGGGAAAGGGAGAAGCAGGCAGCCCAACTGAGCAGCGAGCCCAATGTGGGGCTCGATTTCAGGACCCTGTGATCATGACCTGAGCCCAAGGCAGACACTTACTTAACCAACTGAGCCACCCAGGCATCCCGCCTTAGATAATTCTAATGTTGAGAAAAAATTGGACAATTTCAGCCCAAGGCAAGGATTCTCTACCTTTTTTTCCTATATTGTTGAGCAAATTACACTCTTCCTAAAGAAATACTAATTTTAAATCTGGCATCATGCCATCTTAGAAGGGACTATGGGAATCACAAGGCAGGCTAGGGTTAGGTAAGAGGCAGAGGGAGAAGGGAGGGTGGACTTTAGCTTTAACCAGCTTTCCCAGGGACACTGAGGCTTCTTTTCAATAGGGAGGGTCATGCTCCCACCCCCAATTCTACTCCCAACTTCCTTCCCTGTGTGAGTCACTGGTCCAGACTAGTCTGCAGGAAGAAAATTTACTAACAAGCTTAACAAGCTTTTTTTTTTTTTCTTTTTTTTGCTAATAAGCTCCTGCCTTTATGACAAACAAAACAAAAAAACCCAAACAACTTTGTTCACATTGAAATGACATATATACTTTTGAAGGTAACAAAGTCACCATGGAGATACTTTTTCAAAAGGTAATTTCATTTTTTTCACACATTTGACCGTTTCACTGATAAATTAAACTAAACTTTTTAAAAAATACTTTTGCTGTTTCTTTTTTGTAGCATTCTGTCCTATAATATTAACTTGCTCCACAGTCAAGTACCAAAAGTTAGTGGCAGGGCCTTGGCAATGAGTTTCTGCTATGCCAGCCTTCACTATTTTGACTGTGGATTTAGAACAAAGTTACAAATGTGTGCATTTTATGATTAGTGAGGTGATACAAAATTTAGAGATTCTTTCCTGAAGTTTGTTGAAAGAAATGAACGAATATTCATTCGTTCTAATTCTACTCCCAACTTCCTTCCCCGTGTGAGTCACTGGTCCAGACTAGTCTGCAGGAAGAAAATTTACTAACAAGCTTAATAGTTATATTCTAATGTTTAGAGTGTTCTGTGACTATAATTATTGTGAGTCAGTCTCTAGTAGGCCAGTCACCTTGCATTCTAGCAAAGTTGAATTTTAAGCCAACTAAACTAAAGCCCAGACTTCACAGCCTGGTGCTCAAACCAGGAAAGTAACCCCTTCCTTATAGGACACATCTGGACAGCCTGCTTACCTCCCAGGCCACATGCACTTTCTCCTTTGGCTGCCTCTCCAAATGTTCCTCCTGGTCCTATTCCAATTAGAATGTGCACGCACACATCTTCCTCCACACAGTTTATTAGGGCACTATATTTGATTATATCACCTTACCCCAACTTGCCCTTCTTAAAAGGAGTGGGACTTGAATTGCAGATTAAACATATATTTTTTTTCTCTAATTTAAAATGTGAAGGAGGATGATATTGCTGGAGGACATGCTAACTTTATGTAGATCTGACTTCCCAGCTGTTAGTTCAGACTAAAACGTCTAATAGGAAAGGTACAAAGTCTGCCTCTTTATCCAAGCCCTTTCTACGATGAAAGGAGGTAATAACTGTGTAGTGTTGTGCTTTCTATGTGACAGTGTCCAGCCAATAATCTTAATTATGTAATAAATACTATAACAACCATATGTATATCATATAAAACTTTCTGGTAACTAAATATAGTCAGGAATGAAGAGACATGGAAAGTGAGTAATAGATGAAAATCTTTCGCTTCTCAGTTTTTTCAATTCTAATCTTTGGTGTGTTTTCAGGCAGTGGCCACTAAAGATTATATCATATATACAATTATAATTTTCACATTAAATAACACCTGCTTTTATACTAATGTCACTGAAAAGAAGCCAGACTACTTTCATATATCACTAACTCATTTTTTAAATCTTTACAACATCCTCTTAAATTCTGATGGCTCCTTAGTCTGCAGTCAATATTTAATCTGAATGTTTTAAGATTCAGAAGCAAGCAATTGCCTATGATAATTTTTAAAAACATTTCCTATTTTCTTTTGTGTTTTTAAAATCCATTGTTTTCTGCTTAATTTAACATTGTATCACCCACTCCTACCCCTAACTTGCCATTCTTCATTCTCTCCTTCACTTGCCCTTTCTTAGCTAGTTCTTATAAATTAATCTTGTCCTTCTTTTAACCATCTATTTCTTGGTCTGGTTTCATTCATTATATCTACTTTTCTTCCAATTAAATTTGAAAAGAAAAAATTTATCTTATTTATTATATGTATTCTAGGTTTCTCCACTTAGCCACTGTTGCTACTCTATAAATACATTTGATTAACTGCACTTTTCATCTATATTGAGTCCATCTGTCCCATAAGCATTTATCAAGTACCTACTATATGCTGAGTTTTATAAGGGAGACCAAAGGTATAGCATATATCCCTGGTTTCAAAGTGTTCTCAACACAGGAGCACCTGGGGGACTCATTAGTTTAAGGGTCAGACTTTTGATTTCATCTCAGGAAATGATCTCAGGGTAGTGAGATCAGCCCCTTGCTCAGTCTGTTGGTCTGCTGTAGGTCCCCCCCCCATTCATGTGTGCTCCCTAAATCAATCAATCAATTTTCAAAGTGTTCTCAATACAGTTGGGAAAATAATATGAACACATTAGAATTACATTTATCAGAATGTGATCATATTTCACTCAGAAACAGTTAATGTATTTATTTCACATTTATTTTCAAAGGTTTTTGCCCCATCTCATGGACTGTATGACAACCTGCTTAGAACCCACTTTAATTGTGACTACCAGGGCCAACCACTTCTGGCTCCTGGCTTCCCCCTACCCCATCATCTCTAGGATAACACCCTTCCCAACATGCTAGTTAGTTCCCGTTGTATATAACTAAATCAACAGAAAAAGTTAAGAGGAAAACATAGAATAATAGTAGTAATTATATTCACCAAAATGTTGCACCATAGGCATATGGGTGTACATATACTCAAAATAGGGTCTTGGCAGGAAAAAGTTGGCATACCCAAAGAGATTAACTAAATAGTCTAATGAAGGGACTATTTATAAAGGATGTAGTCAGAGAAGCCAGTACAAAGATGAAACA